GGGTAACCCTAGCAACTCTAAACTCTAAACGTGCGTGGTTTACGGACACACGAACAATAACCCTCAAAGAGCCGCAAGAAAGCAGGTGCGGTGGTTTTGTATAGTTAGGGACCGCTAATATAGAACCCCCCAAATAGTCGGATCCCCTTATCATAAGGATCCCAATAAGGTAACCCTAAACCCTAAACCCTAAACCCTAAACCCTGAACCCTGAACCCTAAACCCTAAACCCTAAACCCCATATGTAGCACTCAATATCAAGCCTAAGCCCCCGAAAAGCCGACCCTCTAGACCCGAAGCCCTCAGCTCTGAACCCTAAACCAGGGCTTAGGGTTTACGGTCCATTGTTTACCCTCAAACCCTAAACCCTAGAACCCTAAACCCTCAACCCTCAAAGCCTAAACCCTAAACCCTCAACTTCAAACCCTCAACCCTCAAACCCTAAACCCTGAACCCTAAACCATAAACCCTAAACCTTAGAGCCAAGGTGCGAAGCGGCTCAGGGATGCTGCTGTTGGTCCTGGGTTGGGCGCAGACTCAATGGCAGGTGCCCTTTCAAGCTTGGGAAGGAAGGTTTAGGGTTTAGGGTTTAGGGTTTAGGGTTTAGGGTTTAGGGTTTAGGGTTTAGGGTTTAGGGTTTAGGGTTTAGGGTTTAGGGTTTAGGGTTTCCGCTTTTAGGCAACCTGCACGGCAATCTCATTCTCGTGCCTGGAAGTTCAGGTTGCAAGTGCATTTATGAAACACCTTTAAGCCCCTAAACCCTAAACCCTAAACCCTAAACCCTAAACCCTAAACCCTAAACCCTAAACCCTAAACCCTAAACCCTAAACCCTAAACCCTAAACCCTAAACCCTAAACCCCAACATGCTTGTAATTGGTGAATTCTGCAGTTCTACTTGGTCAATAAGTACAATGAGCCTCCAAGATTGGGGAAGGTTCTGTGCGTTTTTGCCACCGAAACATGGCACAGACGCCGCTTTCATGCCTTTTGGGCTTTTGGATGTGTTGGCTTCCTGTTTAGGGTTTCGGGTTTTAGGGTTTAGGGTTGAGGCTTGCATTTCGTGGGGGTCCCGCGCGCAAGCGCGTCAGGCCCACTGTTTGTGATGATCCTCTTGGGGTGTTTTTTGTTGGGTTCATCTGGCCCTGAGGGGCCATGAGACCTCAAACCCTACACCCCTAACCCCTGAACCCTAAACCCTAGACCCTAGATCCTAAACCCCAAACCCGGTCCGATGATGGAATTCGGCACCCCCCAAAAACCATACAAAGTCGGATTACAATGGACGCCCTGGGCTGGAGTCCTCTTGGACTGGTTTTGGAGTGCTCTTGGAATGCGTTTCGAAGTTACGTAAACCCTAAACCCTCGACCCTAAACCCTAAACCCTAAACCCTAAACCGTATGGTCTAGGACCTGGAGTAGGCCTTTATTCCACTTTTTGTTTTTTTTTCAATTTGGGTTTCCCTTATAATCTCCTTAAAACCCAAAAGGGCACCCTCTGTATTCCTAGGCTACTCCTGGGTCTAGCCCTAAACCCTAAACCTTAAACCCTGAACCCTAAACCCTAAACGTCGGTTCTCAAACTTAGGGTCCCTTTCTGGGTAGCAAAGAAGGGGGGCCGCCTTACAAGAAGGTCCCCAAAGTGACCATTTTTTTGGAGAGCTGACCACATGCATTCGGTATTTAGGGTTTATTTAGGGTTTACGGTTTAGGTTTTCGGGTTTAAGGTTTAGTGTTTAGGGTTTGGGGTTTAGGGTTTGGGTGGGGTTTAGGGTGTCCCAAGCACACACTGATCTCGATATCGCCGAGCTTTCAGCACAAAGCCGTCGACCTGAATGATCTAAACCCTCAACCCTAAACTCAAAGCCCTAAACCCTCAACCCTAAACCCTAAACCCTAAACCCTAAACCCAAAGTTAAAAGAACATATCAAACCTTGTCTCCTCCCCAGCTTCGGTCGGGCCTGCCAGGTTCTTCGCCAGTTTCCTCCTCAGTTTGGTGCGCAGTGGGTTTTGTGGTTACCCTAAACCCTAAACCCTAAACCCTAAACCCTAAACCCTAAACCCTAAGCCCTAAACCCCAAATTTAGGGAATTGGTGTTTTGGGGCCTTGAAGAGTTTCGGGATCCAGGGCTTTCCGGGGTTGGCAGGGGGGGCAGGGGAAGGGCAGGGGGGTTTAGGATTCCATGGTCTTTTTTTGTTTAAGGTTCAGGGCTGTAGTTTCGAGATTAGGGTTTAGGGTTTGGGGGGTTTAGAGAGGGTTTTAGGGTTTAGGGCTAGGGTCTAGAGTGAGTTTCACCTGGATGCTTGCACCTCTTGCTGGGCCTTCTTGTGCGGCGCTCAGGGGTTTAGGGCTTAGGGTTTAGAGTTAGGGGTTTAGGGTTAGGGTTTAGGGTTTAGGGTTTAGGGTCCAGCGTTTAGAGTTTAGGGCTTCGCTGCACTCTGGGCGCGTTGAACCTGGTCAAGGGATGGACACTCTGCCTGTTCCAATTTTTGGGCTCAGTGTCTTGTTTTGGAAACCCAAAGCCTTTTAACCCCGCAAAAGGGTAGACACACTGCGCGAAGCCACAAGCCCCAAACGTTTTAGGGTTGCCCGGGACTGAGCAAGTAGGTACAACGTGGAGCTATACGAAGTGCTACCAAATTATAGAAATCCTACTTGATACCCCTTAGCAAGTCCCCTGATCTTCGAAGAACCCTAAAACCTGAACTGCTAAACCTCCAAACCCCTAGACCCGAGTAACCCTAAACCCTAAACCCCCTAGACCCTAAACCCTAGTAACTAGTAACCCTAAACCCTAGTAGTACTAAACCCTAGTATAGAATCCTAAATTCCTAAACCCAAAACCCCCAAAACCCTAAACCTTAAACCCTAAACCCTCCTAAACCCTAAACCCCACACCCTCCTGCGATGGCCGCGGCTCTTGGCGACGATGCCCTTCCGAGGCCCGCGGGGACCTTCGCCACGTAGAGTTAGGATTTAGAGGGTTTAGGGTTTAGGGTTTAGGGTTTAGGGTTTAGGGTTTAGGGTTTAGGCAAGTCTACGGTTTTAGGGTGTAGGGTTTAGGGTTTAGAGTCTCCGGTGGTTTAGGGCTAATGCTTCAGGATTCAGGGTACAGGGTTTTCGGATTTGGGGTGCAGGGTTTAAACCTTGAACCCAGGGCTTATACATAGGCTTCAGGATTTCGGATTCAGGGTTCAAGGTTTCTCACTCTGCGAACTATAGATAGGGGGCCCCTCCCCTCTCCCCTAAGCACTTAAACCGAAACCCCAAGGACAGCCTTCCCTGCAGCCCCATCACCCTGAACCCTAAACCTTAAACCCTAAGCCCTAAACCCTAAACCCTAAACGCCCAACATGTGCGAGGGGAGAAAGCCGCGGGGGCCTCGGCAGGTTGAAACCCTGTTTTTTGTTTGCTTTGGGGCGGTGGGGGCAGGGAAGAGGGGAGGGGAGGTTGGGGTACCAGTTTCAGGGCTTTGGGTTTAAGGATGTTGAAGGTTTAGGGTGTATTTAGGGTTTAGGGTTTAGGGTTTAGGGTTTAGGGTTTAGGGTTTAGGGTTTGGTTAGGGTTTAAGGTCTTGTGTTTTTTTCGGGTGTTTGTTTTTTTTGGTTGTTGGGGTTTCAGCGTTTAAGGTATCTTGCCGCTCAAGCGCTTACACTTGTACCCTTAAACCCCTTTATTCCGAGCAACAGCCTCACCCGAAACCCTACACCCTAAACCCCAAGGACAGGTATTTCCAAAAGTAGGGGCATCACCTGAACGCCCCAAGCATAAATGAATCCGAAGGGACCCCCTAACGAGAACACCAGGAATGTTCGGAAAGCCCCATATTGAGGCGATTTAGGCTTTAGGGTTTAGGGTTTAGCGTTTAGGGTTTAGGGTTTGGGTCTCTGGGCTAAGTTCTGTGTTTGGAGGTGTGGAAGTTTTGAATGAACTATTTTCGTTTGCACAAAACCTAGACTGCATAATTCCTCAAGCTCTGACACCCAGGCCTCAGCCCCAGAGCCCACAACCTACCACCCTAAACCCTAAACCCTAACTCCCTAACTCCCTAACTCCTTCCCCTAAACCCCTAAACCCCTAAACCCCTAAACCCCTAAACCCCTAAACCCCTAAACCCCTAAACCCCTAAACCCCTAAACCCCTAAACCCCTAAACCCCAGACCTTGTGAACCTTAAATCCAACCGTATTCCGCACGTCGAAGGTTCGGAGGCTTCGGGGTAAAGGCTGTACCCCTAACAGTTCCCCTTAATATACTCCTAATATGGGCCTTATATTCCCTTAGGGTTTAGGGTTTGGGGTTTAGGGTTTAGGGTCGAGGGTTAGGGTTTAGGGTTCCCTTAGGGATCCTGAAAAGGGACCCCAAAACCAAGGGTACATCCTTAAGGTTTAAGGTTCAGGGGAGGGGTCGTATAGTGTTGGAGAGCCCTAACCCCTAAACCCTAAACCCTAAACCCTAAACCCTAAACCCATCGCTTTGTCGAGCGTTGTGTCCAATGGAACCGATGGATTGGCTCAAGGACATTTGCTTTAGGGTTTAGGGTTTAGGGCTTAGGGAGGTTCAGGGTTTAGAGTTCAGGGTTTAGAGTTCAGGGTTAGGAATTTGAAAAGTATGGTTTGGGGCTCAGGGTTCTCTCCCCCACCCCACCTCCCACCCTCAAAGCAAGATACGAGCACTGCGCCTCAAACTCAGCCTGCCAGTGGACATGTTCAGCTGAACCCTCAACCTCAGCAGCCCTAAACCCTAAACCCTAAACCCTAAACCCTAAACCCTAAACCCTAAACCCTGCAAGAGACATCCCTCAAAAACAGTTGCTCGCAGTTAGCCGCTTTGAGGTGTAGGGTTTTTGCCTTGCCCTGCACCTGAAGGGGTAAAGTTGGAGGGACCTCATATGGTCCCTATACACCTAAGTCGCCCCCAAACAACCCCTAACATAACACCCAATACGGTCCCTTAGAAGGGTCCCTCCTTTAGGCCCCCTGAGCACCGGTTTGCCAAGCAATGGGTGCAATGGGGCGACTTTGTGCCCGGATCTTTCTGGTTCTGCTGCCGCCATCCGCGGTGAGCCTGTGCTTGGAGGATGGGGTCCCGGAGCAGAATCGACGAAGCTTGGCCCGTTCAGGTCTTCTTGGGTTTGGGCTGTTTAGGGTTTAGGGTTTAGGGTTTAGGGTCCAGGGTTTAGGGTTTAGGGTTTAGGGTTTAGGGCTTCGTGTTTAGGGTTTGGGGGTTCAGGGTTGAGGGTAGGAGGGTCCTCCTGTAGGCGTTGCAGTAGAGGAGTGTAGGGTACGAATTGCGGTAGTACCTACCGTTTTGGAGATCCTCCTCGGGGCTCTCGTGGCTTGATTTCGAACGAAGAGGTCATTGCTGTGGTTTTGGTGTGAGTGTATATATATAATATACACGCACCAAATAAATAAATATATTATGTCTATTTTTTATTTGTTTATTCTTTATTTACTTATGCATGTATACTTTATTTATTGCACTTAAAGCCTGAACCCTAAACGATGTTTAGGGCTTAGGGTCTGGGGTTTAGGGTTTAGGGTTTAGGGTCCCAAAGCAGTTCAGCTGGGACCGCCCAGGCTACCTTAGTGACACCGCTGCCAGCGCAGACGAGAGTCGCACCCCCATCCGCATGGTCACCTGGACGCCAAGCCGAGACCCCTTGGGAGGTTTCGAAAGTGGATCCCTTTAACCTTAAGGGTTAGGGTTCATGGGTGTAGGGTTTAGGGTTTAGGGTTTAGGGGTGTAGGGTACTTTTGGGGAGTTCTACTTTGTGGATCCTCCCAGTGGTCTGGGAGGAAGTACCCTTCTTTCGCTTGATTCAAACGGGCTAGGGTCTTCAGGGTTTAGGACTTAGGTCTCTATTACCAATGTTCGTTTTCCAAAGAGTCAAGGGTCTACAGCACATTTACACCCTAAACCCCAAGAGCCTTCTTTTCTGAAAGGCGACTCGGCGCGAGAGCCTAGGTCATGTACGACTGGGGTTCTGCGGAAATGGCTTCGACCTTGACGCACATTCTCGTCACAGAGCACTTTGGCTACCACGCCGTCACCGGGCTTGTTCTGGAATATCCTTTAAGGGTTTAGGGTTTAGGGTTTAGGGTTTAGGGTTTAGGGTTTAGGGTTTAGGGTTTAGGGTTTAGGGGATCCATGTACCTAAATTACGAAAGGCTTGGGCCTTAAAGTACCTTCTTTACAGGGACTTTGGGGCCGAAAAATCGATATAATATACGCATGAGGTGCATGGACCCTTAGGGTATGTATGGTTCGCAATCCTCAGCACCCTAAACCCTAAACCCTAAACCCTAAACCCTAAACCCTAAACCCTAAACCCTAAACCCTAAACCCTAAACCCTAAACTCGCCACAGGTCATGAACCAGCAGAGGACGCTAGGATCCTTCGATGGCGTGCTCGAACTAGCTGGCTGCACAACGGAAGACTGCTCGCAGAGATACGAAGCTCGGGTCTTGAGTGTTAGGGTTTTAGGGTTTAGGGTTTTTGGTTTCCTTAGAAATTCCGAACAACCTCAAGAAGGGCGCCCTGTTTCACAATATGGTTGCTATAGGCTACCGAAGGCTTCTAGTTTCTTGCTAGACAGGGTGGGTCCCCCGCTTACTGGGATACTGGCACTAATCACCTAAACCCTAAACCCTAAACCCTAAACCCTAAACCCGGCTTTCTTGAGCACATGAGGCAGAGAGCCACATTGCCATGGAGTGCTGGATGTCGGAAATACCGTTCCAGCTGCTCATCCGCCAGTCCGACAAGCGCGCGGCGGTTTAAGGTTTAGGGTTTAGGGTTTAGGGTTTAGGGTTTGGTCACCTGAGAACTCCCATAAACCCTAAACCCTAAGTTGGCAGCTGCCAAGGTTTGCACGCTTTGCGGCGGAGCACCCCGACAAGGTTCCCTTTGACTTGGGGTCCATCGGATACTTCGGAGAGAACTCCCTCAGTGTCGCGGATGCCTTAGTAGGGAAATGAGGTACCCTACATAATTATAAGTGCAGTTACCAGTACCATGAACCTCCATGTAAACCCCAAACCCCAAACCCCAAACCCTAAACCCTAAGCCCTAAACCCTAAACCCTAAACCCTAAACCCTAAACTATTGTTGGTTCGTAGGGAATGAGGGAAAAATGAGGTGTACCCTACATGATCCCTTAAAGGGTAGAATATCGGGGGATGTAGGGTACCTCATTCCCTCATTCCCTCATTCCCGAGTAGCACTAAGATGCCCCAGGAGTAGCATCATTTCTTCCCGTTTTGGGGTCTAGGGTTTAGTCTTTGGTGTTTAGGGTTTAGGGTTTAGGGTTTAGGGTTTAGTTTTTGGGGTTTAGGGCTTATGACGGTTTGTGCGTAGGGGCCCCCTTACCACTACTAGAGATAGGGGTTTTACAGCCTAACTTATGACACTTATAAACCCTAAACCCTTAAAACCCTAAACCCTAAACCCTAAACCCTGAACCCTGAACCCTGAACCTAGACTAGACTTTTTGTTGGCCTGGTAGCACTACTTTTGAGCAGGGGACCCTTCCCGGCATCATTGGATTCAAGCTGCGAGTTTAGGCCCCCAACCCTAAACCCTAACCCTAGACCCTAGACCCGAAACCCTAAACCCTAAACCCTAAACCCTAAACCCTAAACCCTAAACCCTAAACCCTAAACCCTGTAAGGGTTTTAGGATGTTCGCTTCAAGGGAGCCGTGGAACCGAGGTGTAAGAGGCGCCGTGCGCGACGACGCCTACTTCACATCGGGTTTGTCTTTGGAGTTCCTCTGCGGAAGTTTCGGGTTTAGGGTTTAGGGTTTAGGGTTTGGGGTTTAGGGTTTAGGGTTTAGGGTTTAGGGTTTAGGGTTTAGGGTTTAGGGTTAGTTGAGGGTTTTGCGTTTGTGGGGTTTACACCGTTTCGGGTTTGGGGCTGAGGGTTTAGGGTTGAGGGCCTAGGCTCTACAAACCCTAAACCCTAATTCAGCCTTAAACCCTGACCTCTGAACCCGAATTGTTTAGGCTTGAGGGTTGAGGGCTTGAACCCCCGAAGGTCTGGGAAACCCTAACTAGGGTATGCCAGCGGGAGCTTAAACCCTATAGGGTGTAGGGTTTAGGGTTTAGCGTTTAGGGTTTGGGGTTTAGGGTTATAAACCCTAAGCCCCAAACCCTTAGCCCTAAACCCTTTCCCATATTCTTTACGCTTAAGTGGAGCTTACGGTAGGAACTGTGTTCCCCTTAGGGGGTTCAGGAGGATCTCAGCTTGGGGTTTAGGGTTTAGGGTTTAGGGGTCTAGGGTCTAGGGTTTAGGGTTTAGGGTCTAGGGTCTAGGGTCTAGGGTTCAGGGTCTAGGGTTTAGGGTTTAGGGTTTAGGGTTTATAATAGGGTTTGTTTCTGTCCGGAGTTTTTTGGGGGGTTTGGGGGGGTTTGGGGGGGGTTTGGTCGGGTTTTGTCGGGTTTTGTTTCAAAGGTTTTTGCTGCAATCGGCGGAGGTTTTTTCGGGTTTGGTGGGGGGTGGGTCGTTTTGGGGTGTTTTGGAAGGGTTTTGGGGGGTTGGGGTGTGTGGGGGGCGGGGTTTGGGGTTTGGGGTTTGTTTTGGGAGGTTTTGGTGGCTTAAAGGGGCGTCGGGAGCATCTTTCGTGGCTTTCTTTCCTTGTTCAGGGTCATTCTGGGGGAGCTGGGAACGATGCAGGATTATTGCACGAGCCGCTCGCAATGAAACGGGTACAATTTTAATGCATCCTGGCCTTGGGGGTTTAGGGTTTAGGGTTTAGGGTTTAGGGACATCTGCTCGCAGCGCGTTTGACGCGGATCCTGTTTCTGACAAAAGCCGCGACCCAAACCCTGTGAGGGGCCAACCGAGTCGCGGGATCAGGGGTTTAGGGTTTGGGGTTTGGGGTTTCGGATTTAGGGTTTAGGGTTTGGGTTTTGGCTGTAGGGTTTAGGGTTTGGGTTTAGGGTTTAGGGTTTAGGGTTTAGGGTTTAGGGTTTAGGGCTGCAAGAGCCCGAGGTTCTACAAGAGCTACAACACTACACTGCACCACCCGAAGCTCTTCTTCGATTCGATCACTGATTTAGACATCAACGACTTTGCCCCCTGCAACACCACTGGCAACAACTTCGCCAACGACGTTGAAGCTGGTCGTGCGGTTAAGGCTTCAAGAGGTTTGTTTCCGGAATTCAGGGTATGTTGGTTAAACCCCTCCCCGCACGCACTTCTGGCGGTTGCCATATGGGGTTTAGGGTTGAGGGTTTAGGGTTTAGGGTTGAGGGTTTGGGGTTTAGGGTTTGGGGTTTAGGGAATCTTGAAGTTTTGCCTCCCAGTTGAACATTTTGTGCACAGCTGAGGCAACAAGCAAAAGTTTCAGCAGCACCCTGTGCGCCGAAGCACGGTTAGGAAACCGCTCGATTACAGTCTTTGTTTCGGTGTAGCTGTTCAAGTGCCCATCTGTTGTCAGGCAAATTCCTGCGGCGTGTCTCCTGTTCAAGCCAAGACTCGGTTGGACTTGGGAATGCCAAACCCTACCAAAGCCTCTGAAGCCTGATTCCTAAACCCTAAACCCTAAACCCTAAACCCTAAACCCTAAACCCTAAACCCTAAACCCTAAACCCTAAACCCTAAACCCTAAACCCAATTTCGGCGCTCGTCTTGAGATGAGAACGGATGCTCCTCGAAGTGCTTGGGCCTAGGTCTTCTTACCATTTCAGCACACTTACCCCAAGGGTCCATGTACCTTATTCTTCTGTACTTGGGGCCTAAATTCCTTAAACAGGAGGCACCTCAAGGCCCAAGTACTCCCTATTCAGGTGCATGGACCCTTAGTTCTTATATTTCTAAGTATGGAATAGGGGGCTTTAGAATGAGGATCGGGTAACAAAATTCAGTAGGTAACCCTTAGAAAGTAAACCCAATTCGGCGATCTCCTACGTGAAACAGGTAGTCAAGAACTAGGGAAGTTCCTGAGTCCTCCAAGTAGGGACTATGGAGCCCCGTGGAATTCTCTCCTCTGAAACATGGGATATATAGGGTACAAGGAGGGGCCCCCTAGTTATAAGTGGAGTTATAAGAGCCCGAAATAGTGTTATAAGGATCCTAAATTAGGTTATAAGTCCCTTAACTACAGTTAGCATAGTACGGGGGCCCCTCCTTGTACCGACTGCCCCGGTGTCCCGAATAGGAAGTAGGCTTCGGGTTTTGAAGATCCTATAAGGGGCCATGCACCTCACCATTATATACTTGGGCCCCTAAGTCCCTATGTAGGAGGTGCTTTAAGGCCCCACTTGAACCATAATGGAGAGCTATTCCGCAAACGATGCGTTCTTGCGTGCCTCGTAAAGCAACCTTACAGCATAACGCGCGCGCGCGCACGCGCGCCGGGCGAATGGCGGGACGTGGAAATCGACGACTGTCTTCGGTGCTTCCGCTGGCCCCGCGACGCTCGCGCCTAGGTTCCGTGCCCGTCCCAAGTCGTGAAAGATGACCCTCTCGATGATGTCCACGCACCCCCGAGACGCTCCCGCATGGCACCATGTCTTCCGGAGAGCTTTCGAACGTCGGACAGCATCAAAAAATCATCGCAAATAGCACTCCCTAAGGGTCCATGTACCTCATTGAAATATACTTGGGCCACAGAGTCCCAAAATCGGAGGTGCTTTTCGGCCCATGTATTCCCTGTTTAGGTACATGGACCCTTAGGGCTCAGTCTCCCTAAACCCTAAACCCTAAACCCTAAACCCTAAACCCTAAACCCTAAACCCTAAACCCTAAACCCTAAACCCTAAACCCTAAACCCTAAACCCTAAACCTAAACCCTATTTAGGTACATGGACCCTTATAGGGCCCTACTCCGATAATCCCATGGCCAGCACATCCCCAGGAAATGCGGGCATACGGACGATGGACTGGTGACTGGGACGGGCTGGAGGAGACGGAGAGTGGCTACATCGCCAAGTGCTCGGATGGCGTCTCGTCATCAGCTGGGTGTTTCAAACAACCCTAAACCCTAAAGCCTAAACCCTAAACCCTAAACCCTAAACCCTAAACCCTAAACCCTAAACCCTAAACCCTAAACCGTAAACCCAACACTCCTGACCCCACTGCAGAGTGCTGGTAAGTCCGATGTTTTTGGCTTGGAAGAGATCCCAATTCTCAATAAACGGCTTTGAGTTTTAGGGTTTGGGGATTAAGGATACTACTGGGCGTCCGAGTGCGAGCTTCGGTGTTTTCGGTTCTTTGCTGGAGTAGTGCTTCGTTAAACCATTGTTGATCGATACTGCTTTTCTGTTCTTTAGCTGTTCTTACTGTTACCATTCTTGTTATGCTTCCTATATATACATGTAAACTGTTATTACTACTGTTACCATTCTTGTGATGCTTCCTACATATATCTCGATGTTTGCTGCTGCAGCTATGGCTACTGCTACTTCTTTGCTATAACCATAAGTTCTTCATGAGGCAGCTACAAGTAAGAAGCCCACAGCCTTTGTTTTTGGGGCCCAGCATCTAGCCCCTAAACCCTAAACCCTAAACCCTAAACCCTAAACCCTAAACCCTAAACCCTAAACCCACCTAGCCCCAGAGGCCACTTCTGGATTTCTCCGGCCTGCCGCCACAACACATCGGAATGCATCCCGATCCTGGCTGCAGGAGATGGGTGGATTGTTTATGCCGCTTGAACCATATGAGTGGTTCTTGAGGATTTAGGGTTTGGGGGTTGGGGTTTAGGGCATTAGGGGCCCTTTTTGGGGATCCCTTTCTGAAAGGTGCCGCCTTATAATGGGTACGTACCCCAAAAGGACCCTAATGTAGGAAACTACACCTACGACTGGCTTTTACCGATTCCGTAGGCCTCCTCATCAGCAAAAAAGGAATGGAGGTTTGCCTATGGGCAGATGCAGGAAGTACAGGTGTACCTACAAGGAGGGGCCCCCCAAGTTATAAGTAGAGTTATAAGGGCCCTAAATTGGGTTATAAGGACCCTAGACTAGGTTATAAGTCCCTTAACTATAGTTAGCATAGTAAGGGGGCCCCTCCTTGTAGTCACCTCCAGAGGAAGTGAAGGCCCAGGGCCCTAAACTCTAAACCTCGTCAACTATAGCGAAACTAGGACCCGGAGTAAGCCCTTATTTCATTGTTTTAGGGTTGGGTTCCCTTGGATCATCCCCATAGAGCCAACAAGGGTTTAGGGTTTAGGGTCTAGGGTTTAGGGTTTAGGGTTTAGGGTACTCCTGGGTCTCGGAAAAAGTAGTGGCCAGCCTTTTTTAGCACCATGGAAGCAGGAGTTTTCTTCATAAAAGTCGAGGATACAAGGGTTTCCCATGAGCATATCGAAGGAGAGGATCTCTTCCGCAAACATGGTTTAGGGTTTCGGGTTTAGGGTTTAGGGGTAGTGTACATGGATGGAGTATATACGTTTTTGCCAACATAGAGGAAGCGGGAGCTTAGCCTTCAGTACAACAGTTTTAAGTGGTTCAAGGATCCAAATGTAGAGGTAGTAGAGTGTTCCTGTATAAGGTTTCCACTCAGATTCAGAGGAGACAAGGCTTTCCTACCAAAAATATTGGTCGATTGCGAAGCATGGCAGAGAAAGAGGTCCCCCCCCCCCCCCCCCCCCCACCCGCCCCAGCTAACATCCAGAGGAATAGATTTTGCATTCGCATATACGGGCAATACTGCCGAGGTTTTGGCAAGATATTTGGGGGGGGGGGGGGGGGAATGAGGGTTCAGGGTTTAGGGAGGGCGCGCAAAGTACAGATGAGACGAATGTTCTTCGAATGTGCAAGATGCCGCCTGGTTGACGATGGATGTGCTAGTTGAAGCCCTAAACCCTAACCCCTAAATTACTAAACCCTTGAATGTGCAACACTTGCATGTGGCTGTTAGGACTGGAGTTCAGGGTATGATTTGGTATGATGGGGCTATGGTGAAGGCCCTCTCGCCGGGCCTGCCAAAGGTTCAGCGCCCCAACCGCATGCGAATCATGTTCGTGCGCCTGCCCCTTCAGCCGTTCAGGTTTCAAGACCGGTCGTACACCAGGAGCCAGGAGCGACATGAGCGAAGCCAAGGAGGCATCAGAGTCTGACCCCACGCTGGGAGAGGCCAGGCATGTGGCTTCACAGTCCGGAAGTACAGGCAAGCGACGCCTCAGCATCAGCGGTCTCGGAGGCTCTGCTGTTCATGTCGATGTAGACCCCATGGCAATGGGCTGGGAAGTGGTGGAAGCGGTAGCAGCCGAAGTCGGCCGCCCTGCGGCGTCCCTCGTGCTGACCTCTGGCGGCGGTGTGCTCGATCTGAGTGGGCCTCTCCTGGAACAGGTGAGGAACGACGAACTCACGTACGTGGCTCAACGCTTCGGTGCGGGTCGGGCCGCGGTGGGTTTGGAAAAAGCGATTGCAAAGCAGGCCTTCAATCCTGCGGATGCGTGCGCTCTCAATGAAGTCGTCTCCTTGACCTTTGGCTCAGACTTCAACCAGAGCTTGGAGGGGATCCAGCTGCCCAGCACTCTGCAGACGTTGACGTTTGGCGACAAGTTCAACCAGAGCTTGCATGGGATTCAGCTGCCCAGCACCCTGCAGACGTTGACGTTTGGCTACAAGTTCAACCAGAGCTTGGCGGGGATCACACTACCCAGCACCCTGCCGACGCTGACGTTTGGCGGCGACTTCAACCAGAGCTTGGAGGGGATCCAGCTGCCCAGCAACCTGCAGACGTTGACGCTTGGGGGTGACTTCAACCAGAGCTTGGCGCGGATTCAGCTGCCCAGCACCCTGCAGACATTGACGTTGGGCGGCGCTTTCAACCAAAGCTTGGACGGGATCCAGCTGCCCGGCCCCCTGCAGATGTTGACGTTTGGAGATGGCTTCAACCAGAGCTTGGACGGGATCCAGCTGCCAAGCACCCTGCAGACATTGAAGTTTGGCAACAACTTTAACCAGAGCCTGCATGGGATCCAGTTCCCCAGCTCCCTGCAGACGTTGACATTTGGCTACAAGTTCAACCAGAGCTTGCAAGGGATCCAGCTGCCCACCCTGCAGGCGTTGACGTTTGGCCGTGCGTTCAACCAGAGCTTGCAGGGGATCCAGCTGCCCAGCACCCTGCATGCGTTGACGTTTGGAGATGGCTTCAACCAGAGCTTGGCGGGGATTCAGCTGCCCAGCACCCTGCAGACATTGACGTTGGGCGGCGCTTTCAACCAAAGCTTGGACGGGATCCAGCTGCCCAGCACCCTGCAGACATTGAAGTTTGGCAACAACTTTAACCAGAGCCTGCGTGGGATCCAGTTCCCCAGCTCCCTGCAGACGTTGACGTTTGGAGATGGCTTCAACCAGATCTTGGAGGGGATCCAGCTGCCAAGCAGCCTGCAGACGGTGACATTTGGTAGCGAGTTCAATCTGAGCTTGGAAAGAACGCAGTTGCCCAGCACCCTGCAGACGTTGACGTTTGGCAACAACTTTAACCAGATCCTGCATGGGATCCAGTCCGCCATCACCCTGAAAATGTTGACGTTTGGCCGTGCGTTCAATCAGAGCTTGCAGGGGATCCAGCTGCCCAGCACCCTGCAGACGTTGACGTTTGGATATGACTTCAACCAGAGTTTGGCGGGGATCCAGCTGCCAAGCACCCTGCAGACGTTGACATTTGGCCACGAGTTTAACCAGATCCTGCATGGGATCCACTTCCCCATCACCCTGCAGACGTTGACGTTTGGCTACAAGTTCAACCAGAGCTTGCAGGGGATCCAGCTGCCAAGCACCCTGCAGACATTGACGTTTGGCAACAACTTTAACCAGAGCCTGCATGGGATCCAGTTCCCCAGCTCCCTGCAAACGTTGACGTTTGGCTACAAGTTCAACCAGAGCTTGCAGGGGATCCAGCTGCCCAGCACCCTGCAGGCGTTGACGTTTGGAGATGGCTTCAACCAGAGCTTGGAAAGAATGCAGTTGCCCAGCACCCTGCAGACGTTAACGTTTGGCGGCGCTTTCAACCAAAGCTTGGACGGGATCCAGCTGCCCAGCACCCTGCAGACGTTGAAGTTTGGCCACTTGTTCAACCAGAGCTTGGAGGGGATCGAGCTGCCCAGCACCCTGCAAACGTTGACGTTTGGATATTTCTTCAACCAGAGTTTGGTGGGGATCCAGCTCCCCAATTGCCTGCAGAGTGTCAAGTTTCCGCCGTTTGGGCTCGCGACCTCTCGATGAGCCCTTGTATGCCCAAAGCTCAAACCCCGAGCTAAATCCCAAGATCCCTAAATCTAGGCCCATATCACGTGGGTAGTCGCCCCTTGTTGGAACCTCTTTTGGGTAGTTAAAAGGCCCCTCGAGATGGTCCTTTGCCTTCTTTAAAGGGTGCTGAAGTGTGAACCCTGGGTTCTACAGGGTATATAAGTAAAGGGCATGTAAGGATACCCCAATTAAGGGCCCGTGTGAAGGGACCATGAAACTACCCTAAGGGAACTGGTTTAGGGTTTAGGGTTTTGGGTTTTGGGTTTTGGGTTTAGGGTTTAGGGTTTAGGGTTTAGGGTTTAGGGTCTATAACCCGTATTTAAGCCTTATACGAGACGCCCACCTGCGGGAAGGTCCCTCCTGAAGCTGTCTTGAACTAAGCCTCTGAACTCTGAATTGCAATGGGGTTTAGGGTTTAGGGTTTAAGGTTTAGAAATTAGGGCTTGAGTTTAGGGTTGAGGGTTGAGGGTTTAGGGTTTAGGGCCTAGGGTTTAGCGTTTTGAAGGGTTTTTAGGGCTTATAGCGTTTTATATTGTTTAGGGTGTTTAGGGTTTAGGGTTCAGGGTTTAGGGTTTAGGGTTTAGGGTTTAGGGTTTAGGGTTTAGGGTTTAGGGTTTAGGGTTTAGGGTTTAGGGTTTAGGGCGTGTCGCCGCGCAGCGGCAGCAAGTACCATGTGGAGATGGCGCCTCACACACCCAGCGGCAGGTCACGCGAAGACATCTATTTTCACTGCAGTCCAACAATTTCAGTTTAGGGTTTAGGGTTTAGGGTTTAGGGTTTAGGGTTTAGGGTTTAGGGTTTAGGGTTTAGGGTTTAGGGTTTAGGGTTTAGGGTGCTAGAACGTGCTAGATGTTCTTTCTCCCCCAAGCTCACGGGCCACCAGCCAAACCATTGCCATTGGGGGTTTAGAGCTGCCGCCCTCCATTCCCTCAAATCTTCAAACG